GCGCTCTCTTTCGAATGATAATACGTAGCCTTTCAAGCGAATATGCTTATCGTGGATAGTGTTGCGTGTCGGAAGGGCAGGCTTTGGTTGGAGAAGGTGTAGAAGTGACACATTCTCAGCACATGTCACCGTTGAAGCCGCGACTTTAGCTGATGCCATTGTGACGTTGATATCTATGAGAATAAAACAGTGATGATAGGGAAGAGTTGGGACGCTGCCAAATATAAAGGCCAAGTTCCTGTAATCCACCAATTAATCCTTTATCCGTTGGCGTTCGTGGCTGCACATTCATGTTTCCGGCCCACCAAACCCCCCTATCTCATTCGCCCAGCAGGAGGCATTGGCATGGCCACCTGCAGGAGGCCTACCAATGTCTCAACGTGACTTAGGCCACAGCAAAGTCAGTCCAGTAGACCAATAACAAAAGGCAATGCATGTCAGACAATAATAGGTGTGCCTTTTAGTAGTGCCGAAGCAATAATTACAGAAGCTAAATCAATCTCATTGTTTCCGAGTTGAGCCATCGAGGTGACAAATTGTCAGCGCGGGCAAGATGTGTTGAAATCAGTAAAACAGCATGAGTTCGCAGCAGTTGAGCTTTGCGTCGCGAGAACAAACGCTTGTTGTCCACAGTATTCGGTACACCCATTAAGGCCATTGTCATCGCCATTCAGCTTGAGAATGCGGCTGAAGTTAGCGCTATCGGTGCTGCTGCAATATGGCGAATTGGTGGATGTAAATGTCGTGTTGCATGACGCCGGTTTGCTAGTGTCTTCAAGTTGTGGGGGATATTCGATGTCGAAGACAGGCTTTTGGTTTGTGATGTACACCGAGTAGTTGCCACAAAAGCGTCCCGAATCAGACTCAGGGTCTGGTATTACATCGAGACAGTTTTCAAGGACTGCGAAGTCCATGAAACTATTAACTCTCGTGGTAAGTTCCCAAGCATTCTTTTGACCAATCATCATAGGTAAGTTCCTCCCTGTCGTCTTGCTGTGAGTATAGGCCGCAATATCTCTAAGGAAATCTACCATATTTCCTTGTGAAATGGCGAATCCGGTAGTCTCTTGGTCATCCTAAATCTAGTTGGTAAGACTGAATGAAGAACGGACTAAATAGATGTGTCACATACATAGGTGTCAATATTATCTGGATCAATCCCGTCACAACCCACACTCTGAGCAAGATCAATGCGCCACTTCAGCTTATTGACGATGGTTGCGTTGCGGATGTCAACATATCTCTCCTGTGGATAGCCTGGGTACGGATTGCCGTAGCTGTTGGTAAAGTTCTTCCACTGCAGTAATTGATTAGCTCATCAATTGACAATGCAATAAGGGGTAATAGTAAAAGGCCTGGAAGAGAAACAAGGTGTTTGAAAAATAGATGCATACAGCATTGCTCTGCAGCAATCAGCAGAAGGCTTAAACTAGAAAAACTCACGTCACAATCGGTCGTTTGGACCGCTCCTAGGTTGAAATAGCAAAGCACAGTCAAGTCAGGGTTGCTAGCCTACGAATATTTAGTGCCTAAAAGTCTCAAAGCTATAATCAAACGAAGACTCACCCGTAGGGAGTCAATAAAACCTGGAGATTTAGAGGCATGGAAGAGATCCAAATCCAAAACCTTCGCCCCATTGAGTTGTACACCGTTACGATTGTCAATCGGTTCATTGATCTCGATCTGCCATTTGACTCCAGGGACGAAACCAGGAGGAACGGCTGTTGCAGATCGTCTGTTGTTGACACTAGAGCTCTGGGCGCCAACGGTGCAAAATAGCAAAGTGTATAAGGACGAGAACATTGTGCACGATTGTTGAAGAGTTGAGATGAGAGATGAGATTGCTCAATGACCTCTATCTTCTAGAGCAAGTCCATTTGTCTCTGAAGAACCAAGTCCGGTATTTATATGAAATCAAGCGAGTTGTCCGCTACGTAGTACGACGAGCCGGCTCCAACGTGGATGACTCTAATAAAGGATTGCCATGGGGGCTGCTCAACCTAGAAGGTATCATTGGAAAGGCTCACCATGCTACGCTGCGGCGCAGCTTGCGAGGTGGAGACTAGTTAAGGGACTGAAGCATCGTGATCTCCAAACGTAACGTTGATGCAGGATTTCTAAATCCATTAGCAATGATGTATGACGCCCCTGTCTTCCAGGAGCTGTCACAATTGGGCATAAGAACATCACTTCAACATTCCAGTTAGTGAGACATCCTTAAAAGGGAAAGACCTCGGAGAATAATAGGCATCAGCATTGTGGAATTTACGGCTAAATCCTAATCTTACAACGAACCGCACTCAAAAATGAAGGGCCACGTGGGAATCATGTAAGGAGTGCGATGGGCCAATGCCGATAGGGCTTGCGGGCTGAAGTGGCTGCTGAAGGTTTGGTACCTTAAATGATCCTCCTAAATATCGAACCAAGGCAACACGCATAAGCTGCAAACTCGCCTTCTCGCATCAGCCTCGGTCTCGATCAACTATTTACATAAAATCTTCCATCTGTCTCTGACCGCCACGCTGTATTGGTAGACAGGATTTTCTTTCAGGAGTTCACCACGCCCTGTGCTGACAGGTATGCGCAACAGGCATCTGTATACCAAACTTCACAGCAGCCTCGGCCCGATTAGGGAGTTTCGAAACAATTAAGTTTTGTCATCAAAGCCAGGTCCCGATAAAGTTGAAGAGATTCAACAACATAGCGTTTTGTCATTGAGATATGTCATTGATTGAGTTGAACAAGCTAAGGATTGGACGTAGGGATTTCATTCTTCTAAGCAAGGAAATGTCTATTGAATAATCTGACGGAATGAAGAAAAATACGCTTCACGCTGACTTTTAACCTGTCTCTTCTAAGCAATTGCAATAAAGATTAGAAGCACGGCCAAGGGGGTGCTTAGAGAAAGTTTCGAGGTTCCAGAAAAGTCCTCCGGCCAATCACTGCCGGGCTCATACCCAATATCTCCAGGCCCAGATCCTGTCTGGCTAGGCTCTTCTGTAAGGCGGCTTGGGTCCGATCCAGTGGACGGAGAAGCGGTTATAAATGTGTCTGCCGTATTAGCGGTCGGATCAGCGGCCCTTCCGGAACTGTCATGATCATCACCCACTGCAGATGGAGCATCTGTTGGGATAGCGCTTAACAGCGACGTTGTTGCCTCTACTGAGCCAGACCCTGGCGAGGACTGGGCAGGGCTGCCGGAACCCGGAGAGGCCTGTTCACAGTCACCAGTTGGAGGGGCTGTTTCCGAGCCGCTTTCACTGACATCAGGCCCAGGATTAGGAATGATAACATCCTTATTGTCTGTAGTCTTGCAACCGTTGATGTTCGCAATGAAAAGGGGTGGTCGATCGGTGAATTTCAGTGGCTCGCTTCCACCCGAGCCTGCGGAGACTTTGATCGCACTACAATCCATGTACATCTCACGATTGCCCAGACGGTTGAACCATGTCCAAGCAAAGACAAGCTCACCTTCTGGCGTGTCCGAGGGTATGCGAAAGTCAAATGAGCTGTTTGGGCCATCGAGGCCAGGGCAACCTCCGGTCCACGTGTGAATGACAGTGAAAGTCTTACCTTGATCACTAGAGATAGCAGCTTGGCAAGAACCTCCACCATGAGGAGCACCGCCAGAGATGGTGAGATTGTACTTCTCGCCAACAGTCCAGGAGGCCACAGGTTTCGCTTCGTCAGTACCAAGCACATTCAAGGCGCCTCGACAGGGGAAGTTTGAACCATCAGCACTCAGCGGACTGGTCATGTCAGAATCTCCATTGCCTCCGGTGTAAGGATTGAAAGTTGCTCTCAACGGTGCTGGATAACTCATTAACATGTGGCAATTAGCCAGTCCAGTTAGGGTGAGTGCGAACGCGAAGTTAGGCCAAAACATGCTGGCAGCTTTCCTCGAGTGAATTCAGCGGTAAGCTTGGTGGTAATGTGGCGTCAACTTCGTCGATGATGAAGGTTAGTGATGATGGTTTTTCAAATTGTCTCCAATTTTTGACGAAGGCTATAATGCATATCCTTATATACTACAAAGGGGATATTGCTACACTAAACAAAGACGAAGGTTTTGTGGTTTCATAACGAAACAATCCATTGTTTTTCTGGCGATAAGGGGATGTCTTTGACCACGTTTGGTGCTGTTGTTATCGATATGCTCTGTTCATCGAACATCCTGTTTCAATGAAATCCAAGAAGAGGACCTGTTCTGTCGATATAATGTATTTAACACTTTCGACAGAGTTTCGGCTGTGACTGTGTGTTCAAAATGTCTAAATAGCAACAAGGAGACTAGAATTGCGATGGAATTGTATATAGTTCGATCAATCTCTATTCCCGTGCTTTTCGTAATTCGTGAAGTGATTTGAAATCATGAACACTGAAATGGATAAGCTTAGTTAACGGAGACCATTATATCAGACAGACCCGGAACCGTAGTGTAGAATCATTACAGGTTACCCAAGCCCTTACAGTTGATCCAATAAGGGTAATGACTCCTAGCATGATCCGTAGAAGAAACAGAGTCTATTGTTGAATTTGATTCTGCCTTTCATCATCTTGTATGCCACAGTATGCCGAGTTATGCCTTTCCGAGAATGATTCAATAACGCACCATAAAATATTGATGGCGTTGAGTGATCGAAGGAGTTATCAGCAATTGACGCAGTGATTGAGTAAAGGGGTCAGCAATTTGAGTCAGAACTTCTCCAAGAGATGGTATAAAGAACGATAAACCAGATTACAAGATACACTTGTACAAGACAGCGGGATTGTGATGTGGCCCTTGTCTGACTTGCCTCCATGGATAAGTCACACCTTCGGCTTCTTCACCAATCAGATAGAGACATGGCTCACTTGGTCTGTGCACTTTGGTAGTTTGGAGCCCACCAGGAAATCACGCACCGCCACATCTGCTCAACTTCTCCACAGAAAAACGTGACTTCAGCGATCTCAGCTCTTTTTTCCCCAATCAGCGATCACCAAGCAACAGCACCGCCACAATGGAGGAGAACAGAGCCAAAGATAACCCTCAGCCAGAAGACTCGCAGTCTCCATCGCTGCAACTGACCCCTCGTCCACCGGAGTCAAGATCCCTTCCAGCCGGCTTATTCACACTACCTTTCCGTGGTCGACGATTGAAATACGAGCACAACGTTCATGCTCTTATTGCGGAGCAGGAGAGAATTTCCGCAGAGGAAGATAGCGACGACCAGGGAGCCGTGTTACCGTCTGACCCCAGTCTCAACTCACCTGGTACGCTGAAGGGGAAAGGCAAGGAGATAGCAACCATGGCTTCTGAGACCGCGACGCCCGCTGGCGCGTCTGCTGTCGCCGCGACCGAGCCCAAGGTTGAGGTCCGCAAGCTTAAGAAGCGCAAGGTCCTTCTGATGGGAAAGAGTGGTTCTGGAAAGTCTAGCATGCGATCCATCATCTTCTCCAACTATGTCCCTGCAGACACTCGTCGCCTGTAAGCATATCCTGACCTGACTGTGAGCATTGCTCATGAGCTGCTTATACCTTTTGAGAGTCTTCTCAAGTGGAGGGTATAACTCTTGACTTCCACGATCTTGGCATGAGATGAACGTGAGAACCTTCGCTGACAAGTGAGATTTATAGCGGTGCGACCATCGATGTCGATCTGTCTCATGTGAAGTTTCTGGGCAACCTGACGCTTAACCTGTGGGATTGTGGCGGCCAGGAGGCATTTATGGAAAACTACATCAACCAGCAGCGCGTCCACGTCTTCAGCAATGTCGGCGTCCTCATCTACGTCTTTGACATCGAGTCGCGTGACGTCGATCGCGACCTCGCTACTTATGTGTCCGTCGTGACCGCCCTGGCGCAGTACTCGCCCTCCGCCAAGGTCTTCGTTCTCATCCACAAGATGGATCTTATCATGGGCGCCCAGCGCGAGCAGATCTTCAACGAGCGCGTGCGTCTTGCTAAGGCCAAGACGGCCGAAGCCCTCCAGAACATGGCCGCCATCGGAGGCCATGCCCCTGAGCGCCTCGAGATCCAGCCATTTGCCACTTCCATCTGGGACCAGTCTCTCTACAAAGCCTGGTCCGCCATCATCCACGACCTGATCCCCAACCTCGCCATCATCGAGGAGGAGCTCGGGCGCCTCGGCACCGCCATCGAGGCGGAGGAGATCCTGCTGTACGAGCGCACCTCGTTCCTCGTCATCTCCAAGTGGTCCTCGCAGGAGGGCCAGCGCAACCCGGCCGTCGACCGCTACGAGCGCCTCAGCAACGTGTGGAAGACGTTCAAGGCCAGCCTGGCCAAGTACACGGGCACGTCGCGCAACGCGGACCAGATCAGGGACTTCACGCTCAAGATTAGCTCTCTGTGCGCCGTCTTCATGATGCAGTTCACCACAAACACCTTCATCCAGGTCGTCATGCCGCCCGGCGAGGCGCGCTTCAACGCCGCCCGCCTCAACACGGCCATCGCCGCGAAGCACTTTGAGCGCCTCGACTCTCCCGCTGCCATTGCTGGTGCTAGTGCTAAGGGGACCGCCGCTGGTAAGGATGCGGCGGCCTCTGGCTCCGGCCAGGCGGGCATGGCCGTCTCTGGAGAAGATGCCTCAGGTGATGGCCCGTAAGTGGTACATCGATGACACCTTTGTAGGCGGAATTCTGCGTCTACGACATGACGAACTGACGAGTTACGACTTGCATCGCTACGGAAGAGGAAAGAACAGCTCTGGCAACGGAATGATACCCAGCATCCCAGGGAAAATGTGCGGAACGACTTTGGCGTTAATTTACAGGATTTTGCTTCTCTCGATAGGTCACATCAAAAAGAGGCCGCTGCCTTGAGCATGCCGTCTGGAACAGGGTTAGATCACATTAGGGATAATCCAAAGGGATCATTCTGCAGAGTAGTTCATCTATGATTTGATTCGTGACGTCTAGCTAGCCGTGCAATTCTTTTCCGTGACCTATGCATCGTTGAATCGCGGGTCCAAGGCAAACAGAAGCCTAGAGGTGCAATGACCGATGGCTTCGTAAACGTACATTCCCAAGTAAAGGCACTAGATGATGCCGATAGCAAGCATCCTTGTAGGATAGTCAACCAAGGTTAACTCCACTACACCCATTTGACCACCGCAGTGCCTCCTCGCTTGAACTCCTGAACCTCGCCCAATACCAAGCTGCGGTCAGTGTGGTCCTTGTTCGGGAAGGTCGTCACAAGAACCCACGCCCTACTCCTAGTCTCGGGCGAGGCGCGCTGGACGAAGCCGTACACATCCTCAACAGTCTGAGACGTGTTGAACCTCGCCGGAAGTCTGGTCCCGTCGGGCATCTGAATGCGGATCATGATGGTAGGCTGAGACTCGTCCACCGTCGTAGAAGTCGGAGCTGCGCTGCTGGTGCTCGCAGCTGGCTGTGTGCTTGCAGCAGCAGGAGGTGTTGCAACGCTCGGCTCTCCTGGAACAGGACTGCCCAGTCGTCTTCCCTCCCCTCCAAACGGTCTGTATACCTTCGGCAGAGGACGCCAGTTCTCATCGTGTTGCTGAAGCTTGACATCCACTGGTTGGTCATATCGTACGTTCATCAGGTGCAGCGGAGCTCTTCCCTGTCGGATCATCTGTAGGTCCATCGCGTTGTTAGGGTCGTCGAAGCGACGCAGCTCGCCATCGTCGATGCTGAATCCATCCTGCCACAAATGCAGAACGCGCTCTTGAGGGGGGTCGTTTGGACGGGCCGGTTGCGCACGGGGAATCGGGTTGCCTGAGGGGTCGGGGATTACTCGTGACTCTACGCCATCGCCTCCGAGGGTCTGGCCAGAGCCTCGGAAGTGGGCGCTTCTTGAAGGGCCAGGGGCGGCCGGATCGGCATCTGGACGCTGGGCGTTGCTAGATCAGAAGTGAGCATGGCGAACAGAGAGATATAGAGAATAGATGACTAGAGACTTACGCTTTGGCCTTGGCAAGAATATCCTTGATCACCTTCTGAGCATTCGACGGGCCCTGCGAGGGGTCTTGGACGGCCAAACCGGACTTCTCGCCCCCTGCAAATAGATCTCGAGGTCCTTTGCCCTCTTCGTAGTCATCATCGTCGTCATCGTCATCATCGTCATGATCGTGACCTCCGCCAAGTGAGCTGAGAGTGGCCAGTCCCTTCTTCTTCACGGCTTTCTTGGGCGCTGATGATGATGAGGCTGAGGCATACTGTGGAGCGGGACGGCCGTCGAGAGTCCGCGGGCCGGTGTAGGGAGTCTCTGCGTTGCTTGCTGAGGCGGTATTCGACTCTCCGTACTCTCTCTCACCGTCTCTTTCCTCAGCGATCTCTTCGTCTTGGTCGGCGTAGTAGGCTGCGACGGCATTTCGGACCGAGTCATTGGTCCGTTCCAGATATTCACGAGCCTGTAGCACGGTCAGTAACGCAAGTCCCATGGTGGGTTGAAGTGGTGAGATGACTAGGAGCCAGCCATACCTCGTCGGTGTCGGCGCCGGTCAGCTCAATGAAGGCGCTGATGCGATTGTCCTCTTCTCCGTCCGCCATCTTCGCTGATGTGTAGGGAGGGGGTTAAGGTGGGATGACTGGACACGCACAGACCGGGCAAAGAAAGAATGAGTCTGTATCAGTGGCAGAAGAAGTGTCACAGGGAGGAATAGAGGAGGACGAGGAGAACAGGTTGCGGTGTTTGTCTATTGTTGTTTGTTTGCTCGGTTGTTTGTAATGGCGAAGATGAGGTAAGGGGAGGCGATGATGGAAGCTTCAGAGCTCCCGCCCCAATTCACGTTGACAGCAGGCAGCTTTGCAGCGTACGAACGCCCCGCAATTTAGTGTGCTCTGGAAGCTGCGAGGCGAACAAACCCCACTATGAAATGCCCTTTGTTTGTCTCTTGCCGCTAATTAGGCTGCCTTGTCCCTTTACACTGCTATTTGGCTGGCGGGGCGGATGAGGGATGGCCCGTCCTCTGTCCTCACCTAGACTCAAGGTCACGTGGAAGAGCCACCAGCCAGCGGAAAATGGAACCTTGGTCACTAGTCACTTCTTTGCGGCTGCCACAGGCAATAGGGCCACTGTAGGGTCACTGTGACTACGTATTCGGCCGGGGTTTAGGTTGTTTGATAGCTCTGTTTGCCATTCTCAACCTATCTAACGACCTCAACCACGCCCGCCTTGACGATAGTCGATAGTCGGAGTTACGAGTGTTGTTTGGCGCGCGACTCTCTTTAATCTCTCCCCAAGCTCTTTTGGACTCTTTTCCTTCATATCAGCCTTTGACGATGGCTGACGAGCCGATCAACCACATGGCCGAGTCCGGCGTTACGATCACCTCCGACAGTGAGCAGTACTCTGGCGGCGAGGATCTGTCAACGTCACCTCCTTCGTCCTCCTCGCCTCCAATTGTGCTCTACCAACCCCCAACCGTGTGGTCCCTGATACGGGGCGCCGCTATCAACCTATTTCTCCCCTTCATAAACGGCATGATGCTGGGCTTTGGCGAGCTGTTCGCGCACGAGGCCGCCTTCCGACTGGGCTGGAGCGGTACAAGGGTATGTCATCCGTGGAGGAGCGCAGCTGCCTCCAGGCCTCATAACAACTCAAAAGTCATGACTAACGACTCTCTAGATCTTCCCTCTCTCTCGACGGAAGGCACACCCAATTGGACCAGGCATCGAGGTCCGAGACCGACCGAGGCCGCGCCCCGATCTGGACGACCTCACGAGCCTCGAGTGAAAGAGTCTAAAGATGCTATACGAAACATAAAAAACAGACCGTAGCAGTCTATTAACCAGTAACGGACGGCGTTTAGTTGGGGGTCTGCTAGGTTAGAGCTCGGGCATGATAAAAGACATACTCAACAACTGGCCACCATTCAACAAAAGAAGCTGCGCATGGGCTCCCAGAAAGAATCATGTGCAGATGCAGATAGCTACCGGCAAGAATGAACACAAAAAGGTGTCAGATACAGATATATAGCGCATCGGACTTGTACATATACGGCCATCCAATATTCCTGAAGCTTTGGTGTAAACGGAGTCTCTAGGCTCTGTGCCATTACCATACATTGAGACCGACCATCCAGTTTGTGTGATATCAAAGGAGTCAAAAGAGTCAAAACATCTGCCAGCGTAATGCCATGGAACATTAAGCACTGCATAGCACTGCCTATGCGTGACCCTTTAGAATTAGCACAGCGTACAGCGTAGAGAGCTGCTGTAGGTGTTGATGCATCTTCCCGTAGCGCAATTTTGCGGGTCTGCTGCCGCTGGCGGCCCGTTGCCAGCCGGCCCCTGAGCTTCGGCGAGCCGGTTGCCGACCAAAAATTTCCAGAACACCAACCCAGCAGCTTGTAGATAGTCCAGTCGCAATTCTGGTTGTCCGCGACAGGAATGCCCAGTGACCACCATGCTGCCAAGTAGAGGCCTCAGCCGGGCCAACCCGGCCTCAGGGCTAAAAAGAAGCGTGAGCAGTTTTCCAATTGCTCGCAGGCACCAGCCCTAACCACTGATTGCAGTTATTATCCCGGCCACTCCACAGATATGGCCCAGGTCTTGCCAGCAAAGCCGGAAGCTCAAGGCAGTTCGGCACGACTCTGCGCAGCAACGGAAAGACCCTCAGTCGGGCCCTCCCCCTCGGCGCAATATCCGGCAGTGGACTAGGAGCTGCCGGCATCCTCTCCTCCCGCGTCCTCCTCTCCGCAAAGCAGGCTCGCTATGCATCTACACAACCAGCGTCGTCACCCCCGGTCGTCGACGCCGCCGCTCCTACCTCCTTACCTGACCTCTCCTCTACCCCGATCGACATCGATGGCTCGTCCCTGCTCAACATGCCCGAGCAGATCGGCTACCTACAAGCCCTCGGCCTCGACTTCGGCTGGGGCCCGACCTCCATGATGCAGTGGCTGCTTGAGCACATCCATGTCTACACAGGCCTGCCGTGGTGGGCGTCCATCGCGGCCACGGCGGTACTGATCCGGCTGGCCATCTTCAAGCCGTCGCTGACGGCCGCCGAGCACTCGCAGAAGATGCAGAAGCTGCGCCAGGACCCCGTGTTCTCGGCTGCCCAGGAGAAGATGATGACGTCGATGCAGAGCGGCGGCAAGCAGGGCATGGCGGAGATGCAGCAGGCACGCCAGGACATGAAGCTCATGCAGGAGGAGGCCGGCTTCAAGATGTGGCGCACATTGGTGCCGCTCGTCAACGTGCCCATTGGTTTCGGCATGTTCAGACTCCTGAGGGCTATGGCAGCGCTGCCTGTGCCTGGGCTCGAGACCGGTGGCTTTCTGTGGTTCACAGACATGACCGTCCCGGATCCGTTCTTTGTCATGCCTTTTGCAAGTGCTGGTATCATGTTTCTCATCATGAGGGCAAGTTGTTCTGCGAGCTATTCTCCACGACCAATGATAGACCTAATGCTGACTTGTTTCACTAGTCTAACCTGCCGTATATGGCACCGCAACAAGCAGCAGTCATGAAGATGATGCAATACGTCCTCACACCGCTCTCCATTGCCGTCACATTTAAGATGGCCGCCAGTCTACAGTTTTTCTTCGTCATATCCGCCGTGCTTCAATGGTGTCAGACCTATCTCTTCTTCCAGCCTTGGCTCAGGAGGTGGGCCAACCTACCCCCTCTAGAGTCTCACGAGGTCAAGGTCGCGAGAACCGGGTCTCAGTCTGGCACCCCGGGGAGCAGCGGCCAGTGGCAGGCACCCAGAACCATCACCACGACCGCGAGGCCGGCGGAGACGGTAGGGGATGACAAGAGCGTCGTTACTAACAACCCGGTGACGAACCTGAAGAACGCCTGGAAGGGAGTCATGGGCGAGGGCACAAAGAGGCAGGCGGCCAAGACAGCCAAGGCTCACGCACAAAAGGCAGAGGAGTACGAGAAGAAGCGCCAGCTCGAGGAACAGGAAAAGTTCTACAGGAGGAAAGAGGAGAGAATTCAAAAGGCGATGGGGAAGCGCAACAACCTCTAGACGAGTACAAAGCACCTCAACATCAGGCCGTAGCGACGCTGTCTAGCTTTAGACGTGGAACGCTTGTATTCTTGTACTATATAAGCATGCAGCAGATGGTGGAAGGAAGCATTGGGCGAAAGGGCAAAAAGTTGGTTCAAGCGTGGCGGCGTCCATCTCTCTTCCGTCTTTTTGTATGAATATCTCACTGTACTACTTCAGATGGCCGAATGGCTTGCACATAATAGACCTTCCGCGATCTCCACCTCATCAAGCACAAGAAAAAGTATTATCATTGCGAAACCAAAAGATCTGGAAAAGCTCATCGTAAATACACCTTTGACAACAGAGTCAATCTCTTCTATCCGATCAGGTTCTCTGACTAAGAAATTGAGGCAAGCTTGATTAGAGCTGGAAGTTGGTCGTCCTCTTTCCCGCAAAGTCTGCGGCTTTGTAGACAGACATAAAATTACCAAGCTTGATATCCTCTAAACCATTTCAAGGACATGTTGCGAATGGGCTTTCGCCGTGCTGGTAAATGGCAACCGCGGCCAGCAGTGGAAATGCTTATAGCCATCATCAACCAGAATCCTAGTTCAGAGGTTATATCATAGACATGATCATTGCCATGAATCACACAGCCTTGTTGTTGTTACCTTGTTCGTTGTATTACAATTACAAGGCGCATTTCGTTCCAGTACAGGGTCTCTTCATCCAGAAACACAAAATCACTTTGAAAGCATCGGGGAGATAGACGTCTTCCCCGAACGTCTACCGTAGCCCGCTTCCCCGGCGTCACAATGCCAAGATGCTGGGTCGTCCGGATCACACTTAAACTCCGGGACAGCCAACAGGTTAAAGAAAGTATCGACTCCAATTTAATAAGAGCAACTGCAGAACGGTTGCCCAAAGCAGGCACGACAGCCGGGATGGCGCGCCCGAGGCCGTGGACGTGGCCCTCCCTAGAGGATCCTTGGGCCTGGGGCTTCTGCATCTCTGACGAATTGCGCGCGGTGCGGAACACCATCCCCATGTCTTCCGGACGGACCACGGGCGGGGTTCGCTCTGCTGGAGACGTTTGGGCCGGACAGGACAGGACAGGGCAGTGGGCTAGTAGGGGATCCTCCAGATCGACGATGGCATCAGGCCATTCTGCTCGTATATTGGGCACTTATTATTATGGATTCTCCACGCGGAGTTTGCTCAATTGCCGTTCAATCGTGCCTCGACTGGCGAGGTGTCGTTTTGGTCGTCAGCGGACTTCCGCTGAGATATGCATATGCATGTTGTATTAGTAAATGTTTGCCTTGAAGATGTGCAACGGCCTACCAGTGCGCGATCAATGGTGAATCTGTTATAGCGTTACGCACGGGCATATCCAGTGTAAGACATGTGGCTGCATTAGCACAAAGCCAAATGAGTTGCGCAAGCAACAGTCAGTCGGAGGAACCACCGTGTTGGACTCGATCGGAATTGCGACTTGAAGAGCTTTCCGGTTTGGTAATCAACCTGCATCAAGCCTGGACATAACTAACATGCTTTCTGCTGCGGTGGAATCCTTGCTCGTAAAGATCACGAGACAATGCAAGAAATTCGGCATGTCTCTTGAGGTTTGCTGTGTCCAGCCTGTAGACTTCTGTGAAGCAAATAGCAAATCTCCTGAGACCATCCCTTGGACTTTCTTTTCTGCGGCGCCGCTGATCAATGGGCTACAACCAACATGTTAAAATGGCTGATCTGATGAAGACACTGACAGTTCTGTGTAGTCTAGACAACTCATGGATCTTCCAGCCATGTATCCACAGAGACGCGTGTTTGTTAGATTCTCCATATGAGACATTGATCCTACAGACAGCCCAATGCATTCTGATCTCCATTGAGTCGCCATTAATTACTTGACACGGTTAAGCACTTCTCCAGGCCAGGCTCGTGCTTCACTAAAGCCCATCGAGTTCCAATAAATCCCGCCTGCAGTTCGCTCTAGTCCCAGTGGCTGCTGCATCGGACTCCTAGCCCGGGGCGGCTAAGGCAAGCCATCTGGAGTTGGGCACAACTTCTTACCACCAAATATAGACATACGTCCCCTGATGAACACAGGGTGAAGGTCAATGTCTCGTAGCCCACGGCGGCGCACGGGTACTCAAGCCCACACGCTCTAAGATCAGCCCGTGTCTCGACTCGATCTCGGGGTAGGCTATGCTCACGTTTTGTCGTCCGTCTCTCCATTTTTGACGGCGGCTGCAGCGGCGCAGGTGGCACACAGTGGTCTAATGCAGAGCCGTGGGATCTGGAAGTACAGTACAGCACAAGCATAAGACCGCTGGGGCTGAAGGAGGCCAGCCCGCGGCACTGGTGAAGGGAGATTCCGGTCCCTGCATCAAGGACGATCTCAACCCAGTTTGGGGATCCTACAAAACCCGATGGTTTGGTCTAAGCATTTTCACTGACAGGGGGCTTGCGCCGCCCGCCTGGTTAAAAGACCAACCAAGGGCTCCCCTGGGCAGGCTTTCCCAAGTTTGCGGGCATGCTTGCTTCCTTCCTCGGGCCCCAAATGCGGGTATAGTAGCCATCATGAGCATGTTGCTGTGATGGGAACATGGTCAACAAGCTTATACTCGACTTACAGGCTGGAGGGACAGAGGGACTGAAGACAGACCTCGCTCGGTCATGTCGTCGGGCACTGTCCGGCGTGAGGGGACGGCAGAGGATTCCGGCGAGTCTTTGCGGACAAGCATCATAGTATGCGCCGTTATCACTTGGGTGATCGCGGCGGCCTTTGTCTGCATGCGGTTCTATACACGAAGATGGCTCCTTCGTGTGCTCGGCGCAGAGGACTGGGTTCTTCTGGCGGCTCTCGTCTTTTCCGCAATCAACAGTGCTGGCTTCATAGAGCGTATGTGTCCTTCGACTCATTACCTTCGATGTTGTTTATGTTGATGTCTTTTAAGAAGCAATGTATGGGCTAGGAAGTCATCGAGATACTGTCGCAAACGATAGATTATACAAATTAGGAAGAGTATGGGTTTCATCCATGGCACTTGGAATGTCGTCATTAGCTAACTCTACAGTAGGCAGCATGGTTAACAACCGTATGGTATGCTTTGACGCTTTCCTTGACGAAGATCTCGATACTGCTTCTCTACATCCGTATCCTGACCTATCCCTGGGTCCAAAGAGCCGCTTGGACCATGCTCGCCATCGTGATCATCACCAGCCTCTGGGCCATCGCAGTTCTCATGACAGCTTGCATACCACTCCAGGCTTTCTGGGACAATTCTCTTCGAACCCCGGGAACGTATTGCCATCCGATATCATTTTACTGGGCAGCCACCGGGATGCATATGGGGACTGACTTGCTCATATTCCTGCTACCCCTTCCGGTCATATGCAGTTTGCGTGTAAGATGGAGACAGAAGGCGCTTCTGTACTTCATCTTCGCATTCGGCTTTTTGTAAGTGTCTAGGCATTCCATGATTTTGGCAATTGTTTAACGGAGCCATCTTGACAGTGTCTGTGGTGTCTCCATCGTGCGACTGCTACAGCTCATAAGCCAAACCGGCGGCCAGGACTTCACCTTCGACATCATCGGCGTAGCGATATGGACGCTCATCGAGGTCAACACGGCCATCGTCTGCGCATGCATCATGACGCTGAAGCCCCTGATCGCCAAGCTCTTCCCGAACCTGCTCGACCCGCGAACGAGCGCCGCGGACACTCCGCCGGGCGCTGTCGTGTCGCAAGGGGGCCGGCCCCTGACTATTGGCTCCAAGCCGTTTAGGGTCATTCGCGAATCGTGGCTACTCGTGCATGACCACCGAGTTGGAGTAGGGTTCGACAGCGATGCTCCCATATTGAGAGGCTTGCGGGACGAGGAAGGAGGCGAGAGTGGCCAGGTGAGCTTGCAGGACATCGAAGCACTGTACAACGACCACGATTATGATATCGACCTGCCAGCAGCTTTGCCAGCTGCCCGTATTCAGGGCAAAGACGGTGTCGACAGCAGCTCGACTGAGCAGCTGACCTTGCCTGAGAGTCGTTCTGTGTATCATGCCAAATAGGACATTTGGACATATTTCAAAGGGCGCTACGATTTTATTTTCATCTCGTTTATAACATATCACGAATTCGTGCTGCTTCAAGGGAAAGTCTGGACTACGGCGTAAGAGGATCAAAAGTTCAAGATACCACACAACTGGGCTCGGTAGTTTTTTAGGCATTTCGATAAGTCAATCATGTTCATGACTGATCAAATATCCCATGCTTTTCTCGGCGACCTTCAAACGAACACATATTCTTCAGTAAAATCGTGTCTGTCGTGATGGTGTACACTTCCATATGCATTGGTGCTTGTATGTCAGTGATGCACTTACAGAGCTACAAGGCATAAGGAGCATCATTACGGCGCAATTAGTTCCAACGATACACAGTGATTATAGAATTGGTTCATTCGTGCAATGTTGAATATGTATAAGTCAAAAGTAGAAGCCGGCTTTAGTAGAACAGAAACCGGGAACACGATACCACGCAAATCGGATGACCATCCAGGCCGTTCTACTGCCGAAAGAGACTTACACAAATGGCCTCATGCTTGATTCGTCGACGCTAGGCACATGGCCGCCCCGCGTATGTATTGTGGACGGTACCTACATATGCTTACTGCTCGTGCTAAGCTATCATATCATGCTGTATTATAGCTGTCTATTGCGGGCATGGTGCCCCGTACCTCAGCTCTCCAGGTGTAATAAGGTGGTAGCAAACGGCGACGAGCACGACGCTACTGGGACGAAGGCACGGAACCGTTCGGTCGTGGGGCTGGCACCATCGATTTCTCCACAGCCCAGTTCCAGTTCTTCCAGTTCTCTCGCCCAGCGCACGGCCGTGTACAGCAAGCTGGAAGCTGGAAATGCAACGTCCGCACCTGGACCCAAGGGTCCATTTTTGACGCGACGGAGTGCGCTGGTGTCCGGCAGCGCGTTGCGTTGCCTTAGAGTGTACTACAATGGGCATCGTGCAGCAGACTCCGTTGCATGGCGTTGAGGAGGAGCAGCAGTTGACACCAAAGTCTTTGCTCAATCAATTCCAGACTCCGCCAAAAAAGAGTCTGCACTGAAATGTTGCGTGATCTTGACAGTTGGAGCGTCCTCTCCAGTTGTCGATTCCTTGTCGGCCTGCGGAGATTGCTATGCACAGCGATCCCCTAATGCATTCACCGAGTCTGCTCTCAGACGCTGTTCTCCGTCGGCAATTCTTCGCGGCTCTTCTTCTATTGTGTTCTGTTTGAGGGACGCGCATGCTCGCTGCGAGAGTAATGACAGCCGTCAATACATGTACAAGCCCTGTTCCTGTCTGTCACTGGCACGGACATGGCGGCTAGGATGGTGGACTCGCCAGTCAAGGCTCCCGGGCAACTATCCGACTCCGGATTAGGAGTTCACGACGGCGGGCCTGGGCATTCAAGCCTCTGTGTCGTCGGTTTGCATGCTATTCTGAATCTGCAGAGGAGCCTTCCAGTAAGACATCGCGCCGAGGCACCATGAGCACGGTTGCATTGGTACCTTGCATACTGCGTAGCGCTGCACACTCCCTATATGCAGTAGTTAGACTACTTCTAGGTAGTTAGCATCGTTGCATGCAGAATGCCCCCCAGTCCGTTCCGTGCACAGCATTGATAATCATTGCCATTCCATAACAGTTGAGCTAGAGAGAATCGAGGAACCGCAGGAGAAGAAGGCTGATTGAGGAAGCTGGCGAGCCGACCTGGGAAGACGTGCCGTAATTGAGGACCACGCCGGGGCCGTGCTGGCTTGCCCCCAAGTTGGCCCCAAGCTTCAGAAAACTGCCACACAGGCCAGCCGCTATTCCCAAGCGACAGCTAGCGGGAGACATCGGGTCGCGGATGGGCTCCAGGACATGGATGGCCTTTCTCGGGCCGCGAGCCACATCCTGCAAGTAATGATACAGTAATCATAATAAGAGAGGGAAGAATCCAAGGGACTGAGCGACTTTGCTCCTAGGGACGGGTAGGTAGCGAACCAGGAAGGAGGTTGGACCTGATCAGATTGATAAAAGTAAAGATGGGCAGATATAAAGCAAGCCTCCATATCATCGCGCGGGACCCCCCGTTGTTGAGCTCTTTTCGCTCTTCTTCTGGTGTTTCTCGACCAAGGAGTATTTACTGCTGCTTCGAGATTAGCAGCAACCTGCAAGACGGATAACCTACCCAGGTTGAGCCTACTTCTTAATATAAAGACGCCACGAGCTTGCAGACAGGACCAGGCCCTGCAGACTGTTTACAGTACATGTACATGCATACACATGCATACACATACACGTACACATACATATACACCACCCCACGCCCTTTTCCGTGCACATTCGCCTCCTGTTCCCACCTATCACGTTGTTCTGTAATTGACGACGGCTCTGGACCTCGCAAAAGTCGATTTCGGATTTGTGGTTTGTTTGCCGTCTTGTCCCGAGATCAAAACGTTGGGTCGACGACTTGACGCATTTGCCTACACTCTTTGGTGTGCCCAAGTCTCTTCACCTTGGCTTGGATATGAGATAAACACACAACAAGCTTCGACAGCAGCCCAATTCTTGTTTTTCTCTTTCTTTCTCTTTTCCCCTCCTCTTTCATTCGCCTGCTTTTTAGGTTCTCACCTATACCTTACTACTCTTCTCCAAACAACAAGCTTTTCCTCACCCTGACACTCGGTGCAGCTCCTGCCGGTGGTAGGACCTCAAGTCAGTCAGCACTTACAACTCTCCCTGGAGCCGTTCGTTTTGAGACCAGCTTTCGTTCAAACGAACAACTCGCGCCATCCATCTGTAGGAGAAAATCGACAGGTCAAAAAGTTCAAGGCAACGAGCCGTCAGTCAGGCTACCGACTCCCGACGGGTACCGACTTTTTCGACGGTTTCACAAGAAACTGGGGATGCATATGGTTTGACCTGATCTGATCTGATCTGATATTGCACAAGAGGCCCAAGACAAGGTACGTCTTTTCTGCTCATTTTCTTCTTTTCTTCTCTCCTACATACCTACATAAATACAAAGATACACACGTGGAAAAGGAGGCTCCAGTTCTTTTTCACAAGACCCCGGCTTCCCACGTTTCCCACGTTGTGCTGGTGCTCCACCGGCGATAATTAATTACAGAGGGCGACGATCACTTCTCTCTCTTGCCCATCCCAACACCCACCCAAATTCCCATCTCTCAAGATCTAGGCAGGATTTGGGCACAGCTCGCCGGGGCAGCGTGGAGATAGGTGTCTCGAACCTGCGTAGTCAGGCCGGCAGAGGTGTCCCAGAACGGTGACCTGACCAGCAACCAACGGCCGGGATCCCAGCACGGCGGTTCTCTCAGACTGTTTGGCGTTGCATTTCTTTGCCGCAGATCATCCGTTTCCCGTCACTCGATTCGAGAGCGTGCGCTGTGCTGCTGGGCGATCGCCGTTCGCAAATCCTCAGTCGAGTTCAGTTCAGTTCAGTTGAGCTGATGACGAACGGGTCTCATCATATCAGAGCGGCATTCCTCCCTCATCCTTCGCCTCTTTTCACTCCCATCTACTCTATAGAGCACGGCCTCTTATACTCACTCGCTCACTCACTTACTTCCGTCCTCACTTTGTGACCTGGACATCCTCCCTTGTCTCTCCAGATCCTGTCACATCATCTTGTCATATCATAAGCATGCATGCCATCCTATCCTATATCTGAGTCGTTATTAAGAAAAGACGGCACAGACCGTCTTTCAATCCATCCTCCTTCCTTTCTTCTCTCAGTCAATAACAAGGAGCCTCAACTCAACGTAACGCAACCCTAAACTCTTTACCTGACCAAGCACAACAGACAGACAGACAGAAGAGAAGAGAAGGCGAGGCAGAAATCCTCCCCTCACGTCCTCCGCCGTCACCTTCCCAATCAAAAAAAGAAAAAAAAATTCAGTCACACCTTCCAGAAGCTTTTTGGGGAGGCACCACACCCCCTGAGGACCACTTAAACGAAGCCTCGGGTACCTGAGCGACCCCTGGAAACCAGCCCAGAACGAGCGAGCCAGCGAGGCTAACGGCGGGGTCCGCCCAATCCACAAGCGAGCCTCCATCCCTGCCCCCTGGCCCCCTGGCACGAACAACTGGAAGTCAGGAAGTGTGCATCGCAGCACTGACCACTTCCCGCTAGTCTACCTCACCTAGTCGGTTGCACTTGTACCTGAGCCACAGCGCAAACGTGCTAGCTCAGCGCACCCTGCACCCACTAACGCCGCACCACCAGCACCACCAGCACCACCAATCGCCATAGCGAATAGGCAGGCACCTTCAAGGGGACTTAGAACTTGGAGCACAATGGGCCTCTTCTCACGAAAGGACAAGGCGTCCAGATCGGGCTCGTCCAAGCCGCAGCTCAACAGCTCCCAGTCCAATGCGAGCCTCAACTCGGGCTCCTCCAGCCTCAAGTCGCCGACCACCACAGCCGCCTCCTCCTCCGGCCGACTCGGCGTCCGGACATCGGCCGGCCCGACCCACGGCAGCGGCAGCGGCAGCTACTACAACAACAACAACAACAACTCCTCCGGCCCGAACACGCCTCTGACCCCCTTCTCACCCATCCATATTCCCCGCATCGACCTGCCCAAGCCCCCCGACCCGGCCCTTGATCCAGCGGGCTACCTGCGCAGCCTGGGCGCTATCAGGGAGCGATGCAAGATCGTCACGGACAAGGCCCTGCGCGATGAGCTGCGGCACTTTGACGTGGACATGGGCAAGTTTGGGGACGTCGTGTCGTTCGTGTGTGGCATCATCAAGGTAAAACAATCACCCCTCCCAGACATCCAGCGATTATAAATCAGACGTGATGCTAACTACAGGAATACATAGAGGGACTATGATGCACCCTTCAACACAATCCCGCCCCACGGAAGACACCAGCACTTCTGCGTCGGCGGCAGGGATCGCATCGCCCACATGCTGTCCATGTGGGACGACATCGACAGCACGGAGAAGTGCCAGCGCCTGATCGACCTGTATCTCGTCAGTGTCCTGCTGGATGCTGGCGCCGGCACGCAGTGGAGCTACAAGAGCATCGAGAACGGCCGCATCTACCGAAGGTCAGAAGGTCTCGCCGTCGCCAGCCTCGAGATGTTCAAGGCGGTATGTCTTCTCTTCCCATGAAAATCATCATTGCAACAGTCCACTAACACGAATACCAGGGTCTCTTCTCAGGGAACAGCCAGAACAAGTTCCAGGTCGACAAGCACGGGCTGCGAAATCTCACAGTCGAGAAGATGGCTAAGGGCCTTCAGTCAAGGCCAGGAAACGAGATTGCCGGCCTCGAGGGACGCACGGAGCTTCTTGTCAGACTGGCTGGCGCATTAGACGAGAAGAAGGAGTTCTTCGGCGAGAGCGGAAGGCCCGGCAACATGCTGGGTGAGTACCACAACCCCTTTTTCTGCGAAACACGAGTTAACCCCTGAATTCAGACCATCTGCTCTCACACCCCGCAACACAAGCCTCCTCCATGCCCATCGTCCCGCTTCCCGTCCTCTGGAACGTGCTCATGTCTGGTCTCGCCTCCATCTGGCCGCGCTCCCGCACAGCCATCAACGGCGTCTCCCTCGGCGACGCCTGGTCCTGCACCTCGATGCCGCAGCCCACCCCGCACGCCTCCTCCTCCTCCAGCCCCAGCGCCAGCAGCCCGCCCACGTTCTCGCCCTTCCCGCCCTCCGCCTCGAGCGGCAGCAACGGCAGCGCGCGCGGGCGCGGGCGCTCCGCCTCCGGCGCCGCGGCGTGGGAGTCGATCCTGCCGTTCCACAAGCTGACGCAGTGGCTGACCTACTCGCTGATGCAGCCGATGCAGTCCCTGCTCAAGATCCACTTCGCCGGCGCCGAGCTGCTCACCGGCCTGCCCGAGTACCGCAACGGCGGGCTGTTCATCGACATGGGCGTGCTGACGCTCAGGCGGGACGACGCCGAGCGCGGCCTGCAGCACTACGCCGACTACTGCCGGCGCACGGGCACCAAGCCGGTCGAGGTGGCGCCCATGTTCGAGCCGGGGGACGACGTCGTGGTGGAGTGGCGCGGCGTGACGGTCGGCTTCCTGGACCGGCTGCTCGTGGAGGTCAACCGGGCGCTGAGGGCCGAGCTGGCGGGCAATGAGCTTACGCTGGCGCAGCTGCTGGAGGCGGGTAGTTGGAAGGTGAGCACTGACTGGCCCCTTTTCAATGCTGTTTGAGCGATGTAGGGAACTAATGCTGTGTCGTAGGGTGGACGAGAGATCGCAGAAGTCAGCCGCCCGAATACCAAGGAGCCGCCCATTTTGATCGACAGCGATGGCACCGTGTTCTAGTTCAGCCTGGGCCCGACGAACCGATCTGCGAAGGAAGCCGCTCCTGCCACGACTGGCGATGATCAGCCGGTAGAGGCTTTGGGCATAAACGGCTTGGAGAAGAAGATGAAGGAGGTCGCCTTCTAATTCGTGACGAAGCATATAACTCGATTGGGCATCTCATTGCTTCGAGATCTCATTATTATTGACTGGGCAAATACCTGGCTACATGAGGAAAGGGGTAGACCCAACCCCCTTTTGCATTCTGCGCGACTTGCGCCATAGAGCGGACTTGGACAGACAAGACAGCTAGCTATCTCTGGCATATACGTTAATCATGAACGAATTACCGGAATATCACTTGAACGATATTCATGGGCTCGGCTTCAAATCGTGATAGACTTTGCTAAAATTTGATTGGCATAATATACAACGTAGAATCCGACAGTTGTGACTTTTCCGTGGCAAAGATGATCTCGCAAGATCCAGAACAAGACCTCGATCTCAAGACCTCAAATAAGATCTGACACGACACCTCCGTTCTGTGCTTCATTCAATCTAGAAGTGGTGACTGTCCCGGGATGAGTCAGTAGAGTAGGGTCATAGTCAGGGATAGATGAGGGACGCTCACTGTTTCAACAAACATTCCCTTTCCTCCCACGTCCATTTCCGGAATTCCATCCGTAGACTCCGGCGCTTCGTTGAGCGCGATATATAACATCCCGTACACGCGGGCTTACCTCACACCGTGACCAGGGCTAATCTTGACAGCCAAGCATGGTGTTTACGAGATGAGATCAGCCACATTCATTGGCATCTCATCGATCTGGGTTGAGTAGTACACTGTGTACAGTTAGCTTCGAGCCCAATGCGGTGACAAATACTTTCACTTACACTCGATGTCTCGCAGAATGCGCACATCCTCGCTGGTGACGAAGTTGATCGCGACACCCTTGCGACCGAAACGACCCGATCGACCAATACGATGGATGTAGTTCTCACGGTTGCTCGGCAGGTCATAGTTGATGACCAAGCTGACCTGCTGCACATCGATACCACGCGCCCACACATCCGTAGAGATCAGCACACGGCTGTTGCCCTGCCTGAAGTCCTGCATGATGCTGTCTCGCTCCTTCTGCGGCATGTCGCCGTGCATGCTGCTGACGGTGAAGTTGGCCTCGCGCATCTTGTCCGTCAGCCAGTCGACCTTGCGGCGCGTGTTGCAGAAGATGACGGCCTGCGTGATGGTAAGCGTGTCGTAGAGATCGCACAGCGTGTCGAACTTCCAGTCCTCCTTCTCCACTGCGATAAAGTACTGCTTCAGACCCTCCAGCGTCAACTCATCACGCTTAACCAGGATGCGCACGGGGTCTGTCATGAACTTGGTGGTCATGTCCAGCACGTCGTAGGGGAGCGTGGCGGACACCACGACGACTTGCGTCGCGGGGGGCAGGTATCGGTAGACGTCGTAGATTTGCTCGCGGAATCCCTGGTTGAGCAGCTCGTCGGCTTCATCAAGAACCAGCATCTTGATGTGACGGGTGCGGAGATGACGGCGGCGAATCATGTCTGCCACACGACCAGGGGTACCGGACACAATGTGCTGGCCGTAGTCGAGCTTGCGGATATCCTCGCCAACATTCGTTCCACCAATGCAGGCATGGCACTGCACATTCATGTAGTCGCCGAGAGCCATGACGACGCTCTGAATCTGGGTGGCCAATTCGCGAGTCGGAGAAAGGACCAGCGCCTGTGTCTCACGCACTGCTGTGTCGATAACCTGCAGCATGCTGATGGAGAAGGTCGCTGTTTTACCCGTACCGGACTGCGCCTGGGCGATGGTGTCGCGACCCTTGCAGATCTGGACGATTGCTCGCGACTGGACGGCGGAAGGTGACTCGTAGCCATATGCGTAGATACCTCGTAGAAGACTCTCTGTAGATAGTGTCAGCTTCGCGAATTCAGGCGCATGGGACAGAAGGTGTTATAATTCAGCCTTACCTTTTAGCGACATGGACTCGAAGGTCGGATGGACCGTGACCTCCTTGGAGGTTGAGAACTCCATTCTCTCGTCGGCCTTGCGGTCGATGCCACCTGCTCCTTCAGCCATAATGAGGGAGTTAGAAGTGGTACGACTTGGTGGGTTTGATTGTGTTATGGAATTGCGTGTGTTCTTTGCGACGACGACGTGAGAGGCTGTGGACTCAAAATCTCGAGGCGAGGTTGAACGGTCCCAAAAATTCAAGAAGCCGCTTCAATGTGGCTCCACTTTTCCACCCACTTTCGCCACTGATTGGCTAAATGGCAAAAAGCTTCTTGATTTCCATGCCAGCCTCGTCTCGAAATTCACAGCCGGCTTCTACACCAGCATCTCCATCGCGAGCAAACGAGTCCTTAGCTCTGTTTCATATCTGCGCATGCTTCTACACTCATAGTGTAGCCACTCTTTATCGTTTGCAGAGGTTTTTCGAGACATCACGATGCTTTTGGAGGATCAGCGCTACATTGCAGAGGACTTGGAGCGCCTCGAGCAAGGTATCGCAGATCGAATCGGCGAAGAGCCCAAGTTTGTGAGTTTTATCTCGAAGCGCAAAGTCCCATTTAGTCGTACACGTTCTAACCGAACTTGCGCACAGATTCGCGATCGTCTCAACAGAGACCATGAGGTATCTCAGCTTCTAGATCAGATCCAAAAGCAGTCCGCAGAGCTCCTCTCTCTGTACCGCGATGCGAATGGCCTGCGATCAAAAGAGGTCCTATCGATCGGCTCCGGCGACCCTTTCGACCAGTTCTACAGACAGGTGAATGAGGTCAAGGAACACCACGCGCGGTATCCCAACGAGCAGGCTGAGAACTCCGAGATTCGCTACAAGCCCAGGGCGGCGGGAGATGGAGAGCCGGTCCCTTACATTGTGGACTCCATGTTCTCAGGAGAGGAGGCTTACGGACGATTCTTCGATCTACACAGCTGCCACGAGTCATACGTCAATCTGCCGAACGTCAAGCGTCTGCCGTACTTGCAATACCTGGAAGTATTTGATAATTTCGCCGCTGGATATGGAGGCCTGAAGCGTGGCGACAAGCTCACGGACCAGTACTTCAAATATGTCGGCGAGCTTGCAGATTACCTAGAATCTTTCATGCGGAGGACGCGGCCCCTGGAGAACGTGGACAAGGTCTTGGAATCTTTCGACAAGGAGTTTGACGCGGTTTGGCAAGACAACAAACTACCAGGCTGGGAAAATGAAGCGACAGCACCCAAGACAAACGGAGCAAGCAGAGACCTCAGCACAGCCGATGCCGTGTGGTGTGAGGCTTGCGAGAAGGAGTTCAAGAACGAGAATGTCTACAAGGGACATCTGTCAGGACGAAAGCACGTCAAGGCGGCAGAGCAACTAGAGCAGCGCCGGAAGGATGCGGCCACGGCAAACGGCAGTTCAGATGGCGTGGGCGCTACGAGGAGATTGAAGGAGCGAGCTATCGCCGAGCGCGAATTCCGCGTGAAGCGTCTCGCAAGCGCGATGAGCACAGAGAGAGAAGACACAAGAGTCAACGTCGAGAGGCGGCAGGGCATGACGGAAAGGGAACGCCAGCAGGAGCTCGAGAACCTCTTCAGCATGGCTGAGCAGGTTCCGCAGAACGAAAGCGCAGACACAGAGATGGAGAATGGGGAGGAGAAGATTTACAATCCTCTGAAACTACCCCTAGCATGGGATGGCAAACCTATCCCCTTTTGGCTCTACCGACTTCACGGTTTGGGTGTGGAGTTTCCATGCGAGATCTGTGGAAACTTTGTCTACAACGGCAGGCGGTCATTTGACAAGCACTTCAATGAGGCACGGCATATCTATGGTCTGAAGTGCTTGGGCATCGACAACACGCATCTTTTCAGAGACATAACAAGTATCGAAGAGGCGTTGAAGCTGTGGGACAAGATCCAACGGGACAAGAAAAGGGGTAAGGTGGATGAGGGTAGCATCGTCCAGATGGAAGATGCTGAGGGCAATGTCATGCCGGAGAAAGTGTACTATGATCTTCAAAAGCAAGGTCTTCTGTAAAAGTAGCTGCGTTATCTTTGATGAGCAGGGGTCGAATTGAGAAACCCCATTTGCCACAGCTGAAACAAACTTGTTTGTGCTTAACTGCCTACCCAACTAGTGTATCTGCTGTCCTACACCTGGTTATCTCTGAGTGTGACGAGTCGTAGAAAGGTACATAAATAGCAGCAGATGCTCATCAGAGCTACCCTTATTCTAATTCAATCTCTCCAACTGTTTATTCACCGGTGAACTATATATTGAGCAACCATTTTAGTCCGAGCAGGCATACCGTCAACTCTAGAAGGAGATGGCAGTTTAATAAGACATAGTTCGAGCACACGCCAAGGAGTATGGACCGCTACCTAAATGATGCCCCGGATGCGGAACGATGAACTCCCACGACAACCATGCCGCACATATGGAAGACAGTACAACAACTTAATTTCTTTCCATGAGACGAAAAGGCTTTGAAAGACAGATTAACCTTTCTCAACAACGATGCCCAGAAAACACAGACTTGGTTTTTTCTGATGATTAGTTCCAGGCTATACAATCAAGAGGAGACGATACAGTATACTTTTGCGGAGGAAGATACCCACCTATGCCTACCTTCCTCTCACTTCCCCATCAGCACGCACCATCTTGCCCCGCAACGATCAGCCTCTGAAGCTCATATCCTATAATATCGCCACATATCTCTTAAATTATCAAGGGTTTAGGACTATCAAAATACAGTAATGAAGAGACTTTGCTTTTTAAGCGTTTAAACAGACAGGACACAATAGTGTTACTTCATGAATTGTAATGACTGCCAAGTGCGATTCAAGCAGTAAGCATGAAGATAGTTTGCAGCCTCAGGTACATAACTCAAAGCGACTTTGTATGTTCAAGATCAGATGAACCGGTTTGGAGTGAGGTCACGTAAACAAACTCGCTAACCTTTCTGTAGACCTGCCGCGTTCAACCTCAAACAGGTCTTGACCAGACCTACACCTACAGCAAGGCTCAAGAGCGACACAATAGGTGTGTTGTAGGGAATATGGAGCCTCTTTCATAGCCCACCGAGCTGTGCAGGACAGTTTGGGGATCAGTGGCATGCATTGTGCTCTTCCATCCGTTCTGAAGGATGAGATTGGCGATCTTGCGTAAGAACCACTTCCCTCGAATCTGCTATTACCACCCTGCCAATCATAACTATTCTTCATAGGGAGGATGCAAATCTGGACTGTCTCTTGGAAGAGTGATTTCAGCATCTGCATAAAGATGAGGCGAATGACAAGTAGGTTTCGACCCGCATTCAGCCCAGAACAAGTTCGTCATATATGACCTCCAGTCCTAACTGAAGTCAGCGTGGACACACTGAGGAGCACTGCCATGTCTATCACAAGGTGAATCACAGGCTTGTATTGCTTACCGCAAATACGGAGAACCCGATTGCACCGTAGTCGGCTATGCCTTCAGTCTTACCAACTCAGCCCCGGTCACCTGGCAAAGGAAATGGCGAGGATGGTCAAGACGCGGGCGACCTGAATCATATCTCCCAGGGAAACCCGGCTGTTGGGAATGACGCAGAAACAGACAACGATGCGAAGATGGAACTCACTTTGGGCGATAACACCATGACCGCAACGCAGATCCATACAGAGACTCGTCGGATGATAATTCGACGCCTAAAGAGACTAGCTAAAGACGTAGTTGAGGAGCTTGAAGAAGCTCGCGAGATGCAGAGCTTGGCTATGGTCAACGCGCCGGTGGGGGGCAATCTCGTCCATAGAGAGAGCTATTGATGAGATCGCTGAATAACGATGTGGAAGAGCTGCAAGTCGGAACGGAATGGCACTGCTTGTTAGAGACAGACGAGAACAAATTGCGACAACATTCATTTGGTCTTTGGAATAAATATAAGGAATTTGCTCTCTACTATTGATCCTAAAGCTATGTGATTACTGCCTTCAAGTATGCTAGTCTGGAGCCTTCGGTGCCACTGTCTGTTCCTGCTGGCTTTCATTACTCCACGGCTTTTACGAGACTGGCCTATTGAGTACTTGACCATCGACTGCCATAACCCTAGGCTCTTATCTCAAGCAACCAGGGTGGTTGCTCTCAGAAGGTCTCCTCGTTGCATGATAGCTCGTCTTTCGCCGGAATCGTCACTAACATGGCGCAGCGTGAATACATTGCTTCCATACTGGCGTTATTACCATACTTTGAAATAATTTTAGCTAATTTGGTCTTTGCAGAAGCAGGGTCCGGGGGCTTTCTCACCGCCATGTACAGCAGCTGGAGCTCAGACATCCGTGGCTTCACAAGCCATTTGATAGAATCAGGGGCATACTCACCCCATCGCGTAAATATCGAGTGGTAGTCACTAACACTTTCGACTTGGATATTATTGGTACGGCGAATTCCAAATTGATGGCCGATGATAAATTTGGAGGGCTTTGTCGGCGGAAGACGCGCCCGGAGAGCCACGGCCCAGGGATTCTCGGGATCATCAGCCTTGTCATAGAAGTACGAGAATTGATCCTGGATGCCCTCATCCATCTCTATGACTGGCACAATCTTGGCAGGCAGGTACATGGCCCTGAAAATCTCCCAGAGACCGCGTCGACGCCCTTGAGGGTGTTTGGTAGCGGTGTCTCCCTCTTGTTGTTGTAAGCGTAGACATGGGAGCACCAAAAGCCGAGCGTTCCACCTACGCGTTGCTAGGGTTAGCCAACAAGCCAACTTCAAAACTCTATACACCAGACTTTGATTCCTCACCTTGGCCATTGAAAGGATCCTGGTCCAGCGTAGCTTGAAATGCCTTGAACAAAGGCAGCTTGGTAGGGTCTAAAGTTGGGGACACGCCGGTCAGACGACCAGCGCCACGGACGGCATACAGATTGTAGGTTAGGGTCAGGCGGTGACCGCTGGTGACCTCGAGCACTTCATGCTCGCAGTCGCTGTAGAATGCGGCCCAGCTGATCATAGCATCATTGGGGTCAGTTTGATTGGTGCTCCAGTCAAATGTCATCTCTTGAGACTTATGTCGGACCTGGAGCTGTCCACCCTCATGGGATACTGGGAGGCATACAACAAGAGAACCGAACTGATGCTGGGAGCGAGGCGTGTCAACGTGCGGCTTGAACTTGCCAGAAGGAGCCGAGTAGACCTTAAAGACCGTGAGTTAGTGACGACTGGCTTCATCTTATTGTGTGATTATCAGGTCTGGACGACTTGCATTGAGTTTGTAAAGCTCAGCTCGCACAGCCCGGTGGCTGGTCGAGTCGATGACACTCGGCAAGAGAACCTGAGCGATAGTATCGACAATGCCCAGGGAGTATGGGTCGAAAGTAGTGCAGAAGGTATTGGGGCTCATCTGGACGGCCTTGCGATAGCTCTCATCGTATACATCTTCCCCTCCGCGGCCAAACGTGGCAGGTTGAGACTGATGGATAAGTCGGGTTATAACATTGTCTGTTTCGTGCTCTAGCGGCAGTGTGAGCTTAGCATAGGACTTGAGGCTGCTTTCTGAAGCTGCGGCGGCATCGTATCGGATTGTGATGGGATCGGAAGTTGTTCGATCGCTCTGAATGACCGGAGGAGTAGGCAGCTCCTTCGTCTTATCCAAGACCGTCCCACGCGGCGAACCGGAGTTGCTTGTAGTGTGCCGTGACTTGTGGACATGGATCACGCCTCCACATGCGAAGAGATGGTCTTGGGCATCTAAAATGGCTTGTAAGCCCTTAACGACCTCATTCTCATCGGAAGACGACATTGGAACCTAGGACCAGTCTATCTGATTGATGATTTGCTTCTTAGCCGGAGTGATATATGGCAGGAGGAGAGCAGACTCAAGCAAATTACAGTCGTGAGCGTCAGAAAGGAGAAACAAGGCTGCACAAGGCGGGGAAGACGCCACTGACTTATAAGACGAGCATAAACAGAGAGCTTGTGACTGACACCTTAAAATGGGCCGAGCTCTTTCCTCTTGTTCAGGCAGTAAGTCATTGAGCACCAATAGCAGAGAAGTATAAGTCAGCAAGTTTGTTGTGATAGAGCACCGGACGAACTTATTTGCTGGTGGTAGATGTTATGATGCATTGACGCAAATGATAGGCTAGGTTTGCTTGAACCTGAGACGATGCAGCAGCAACAAATTCATACCATATCCTTGCTTTTTCAGTTCTAAGACTGTCACAAGACAAACAAGCTGTTGGTAACATTCAATATCGAGTTTGGGTTTTAAGACATAGAATCGGGACTCTCCCATTACTCTACCATGTTGAGAACATGGCATCCGGCCGTAACAGATAGGCGGATAGGCATTGCTTGTGGTAAAGGAGCAACTCGTATCAAAGCCCGGGTGTCAGCCACGGAGGCAACTTGAAGACCGGTAGGGTACACCAACGCTCATATTTTCAATATGGAGAGGATATAACGCATCCCGTCGCTTAACATGATCTTGAGGGTGGTTTTGATTTCTCCTGATGAATTAGGGTCAACCTAATTCGCAAGGCAGAAGCAGATCTTGAACACCAGAGTTCAGATGAAATTGTCCAAGCAGACTCCTTTAAAAGCGAGCTCTGACGACCTCACTCCGTTCTGTACTCTCTCTCCGCTCCCAGATTCCGGCGTCTGGAATCTGTCTACACCCTATCACAATCGTTGCTCAGACTCTCTTGCCGCGCGCGACAGCACAATTGTGCCCAAGCTTCGCCATTTGGCAGACAGATCGCACCAATGGCTCGTGATCGTGTCTCCCGCCGTGCCCGTCAAAGAGGTGGTGGATATGACCCCGTCCCCATCCCGTGAGTACAATCTGACTCTACAGATGACAACGGGAGCTGAACCTGACTTCCCCATCTAGCATTGGGGTTAACGACAGCGGCAGACCCATGGTCCGCTGCTCTTCCTGCGGAGACCGTCTTCAGAAATACAGTTGGGCCGGACACAAGCTGCTGCACAACACAGAGACACACCAGTGTCCGCACTGCGACACCGTCACCTCTCGCGCGGACGCGCTGCAGGACCATCGTCTGACCGCCCACGCCGACTACACCGACAGAGAGTACCTGCGCGGCACCACCAACCCCAAGGTCCTCAAGCGCTTCGTCGTGCAGATCTTGCGCGACCACGAGGTCATCCCCGATCTTGCCCATCTCACCGAGAAGATCAGCGCGCTGAAGGAGAAGGAGAAGAAGGCCAGAATCATTGTCCAGGGCTGGAAGCCGAACCACTGCATCGATCTTACCTATGTCGGACCTACTGTGGGCGAAATTGCGCACATGAAGCGTGACGTGTTGGTGGACTTGTGTATTCTTCACCGCCAGATGCTTGCACAGGACTGGGATGGTGCGAACAAGGAGGTGGACGGGATTCTCGCAACCGTTTAGGGGGATGAGAATGGCTAGACAGACATTTGTGCAGGCGTTTCCAGGAGTCATGTGCCGTTAAGCACCATCGGTCATTTTGTGTTTCTTCTCAATGAAAACATCGTGGTCCTACTTTTCCATCGTTTCTCACAATATTGTGACCTGCGTTTCACTACTATACTATAATGCGGCATGGTTGACATATACGGCAGCTGGGCTACTCGCACCATAACTGTGTTTGCTTCGCGGTACGTCGAGTCATCATACTTGGGCAGGCGTCAAGACTTTGAAAGGGGTATATTGTCTATATCTATCCATACGAAAAATCAAGCATACCACTCCCCTTCCTCAGGAGGTTCCACGTGGTGTTCCGCAGCGCCGAAAGTCAAATGCCCGACACACTCCTTGATGTCCACGAACTGCGCATAAAACACCGCCGGCATCTTCACAACACCCCATCGCACCTTGCTCCTCGCCAGCCTCATCAGCGACGTCCGATCCGTGTCCGCATCGAAGTTGAACCCCGAGTACTCCGTCTGCAGGCGCGGCCGGACGGGCGAGATCAGATTCTGCAACTCGATTGACGAGTCGTCCCGGAAGCCGGTCGACGGCGGCGTATCGTTGATGGGCGAGCAGTGGCACGCGGCGGAGATGACCATCGAGTTGGCGCCGGCGACGACCATGCTGCCCTGGTATCGTTTGAAGCTCAAGGCTATGGGGATCATGATCAGCACCAGCGAGATCATGAAGGTGGTGAGGATGGCTGTCGTCGAGAAGCCGATGCCGACGAAAGTGTCGCTAGCCAGGCCCAACTTCTGCATAATTTCTCCCGTGTTGGCGGTGTTCGTGGCATAATCGTACTCTCCAGTGTAGTAACCTGTGTTTGAATTCAGTTTCCGCTTTAAAGTCACGAGGCACTGAGGCTGAAGACTTACCACCCTCGATAACGTAGACGTAAAACGTGTTTGACACAAGCCAGTGAAGAAGGACGCTGATGCTGAGCAAGGGAAGGCTGTAGCGGTATGGGAGTTGCAGACGGTAGGTCGACCATTGCTCACCCTCAGGGGCCGTGACGCGGAGAGGGCGGTAGTCCAAACTGAACGAGTTCCATTCCTTCTCCACCAAAAGTCGGGTGAAGAATGCATTGTACGCAAAGTAGCTGAAGGATAAGATCAATTGGGGACAATTGGCAAGTAGAACAGAGGGGATCATTTGTCCACTGGGGAACCACTCGGGCGAGAACAGGCCATTGGTGGCGGCGTGGCCAAAGCTGTCACTTCTGTTCGGGTGTTAATACTTTATCATGCTATGAGGAGACACGGTACGAACGCTGATCCAAGTGGAGAGTCTCTCATTGCGAGGCTCATGAGGAACGCCACGATAGACAATACTAGGCCGAATAGAGCATACGTTCTGACCCATGCCGTGATTGGGATGGAAGAGGCCAAGAACTTCCATCGCTTCCTCCATTGGCGGGGACCCGGTGCAAATGTGATTCCTGGATTGCGCGCAGCTCGTTCTGCTTGGTTCTTCCTCGTAACGGACAGGTCCTGAACACTCATTGTACACTTGTTGACTGTCGTCGGGTCAGGATATACCAGAAAGGAGACCACGGCATCACCGGGTGTCACCAGCGGGTGATTATCCGGCAGCTTCCGGATGACGATGATGCATTGGATTGTCTTGAGGATGACACAGAGAGTAATGATCAGGAGAAGTATGTTGGAAAGCCCAACTTTGCACTGGGGTACGACAGTCTCGGCCAAGCAATACGAAACATCCTGTATGTCGCTGGCGTTGTTGATGTACGGCGGGCGGTGTGTCGACATAAAATAGCCTTCATAGTAAACATATTTTCCGTATGCAAACGGGAAGGTCCAGTTCGTGTCTTCTGCTCCGACTTTCGTATCCAGAGCGTCAATAGAATAGTAAGGTAGACCGAAGGCTCCCGCGCATGAATGGGAGCAGGCCGGAGGATTCTCCGATCCACGGGTGGCCTCGACGTGACACGAGGACGCGAACCAAAGCGAGTTCGTCTCATCGAGTGAGACGTATGGTTTCCAGTAATCCGAATAGGTAGTCGAGTTCGTGAAAGCGCCTCTAACGTCAGTCGTGTACTCCCGAGATTCATTTAACCACTGCACTGGCGCAGACATGTTGTAGATCTGATTTGGAATCCATCCATTCTCCTTGTCATCGTCGTCACTGGCGCTGTTCAAGACGACAACCACACTCTGATACTCTCGCCGCCCAATACAAGCGCGGTACTGCTCCTTGCATGTTTTGGCATCAAGCGTTGTCCAGGTCCCTGGTCTGTCATACAACATTGACACGTTTTTTACCAGCCAGAAGTCTGAGTTCTTGTAGTCAGACATGTTGACATCTTTGCCCCAACCAGAAGGCATTACTCCCGAGGGCCAGAAACTCGCTCCTGGGTGAGAATAGGCCTGGTCCTTGCTGACGAACGACTCCGATACCATGGCCATCTCAAAGTCGCTCCCTTGGTAATCCGTCTCGAACACCGCTGAGTTAAAGAGCAGATGGATGGGGATGGAGGTTAATGAGAAGACCAGCCACGAAAGCGACTTGAATCGCGAGACGAAGAAGACATTCCTCAGAGACGGCACTCCGATTTCCATCCAGTGGTTGTTGATATGTGCCTTATCAATCTCATCTCGACTGGGCGAGTTCAAGACCTGCATGAAGAAATTGGAAGAGGCGATGATGGCCGTCGACAATACATTGAGCAGCAAATGCAGAAACAAATTGAGCCTTGTGCTCTCGCCGCAATTCCCTTCAAAGAAGATGAGATATCTGTTCAGTGAGCCCGACTTTACGCTACCGGCGATCAGGAAGCTGATTAGCAGCAGGCCGAAGAGGCCGACGAGGATGGTGTTGACGACGGCTGTCCTCCGCCATCCTGACCGTGGGAGACGCAGCTTCGGCCAGGACACCATTATCGACGATCCACCCCCATTCGTAGGCCCATTGAAGCCGATGATGAGAATCAAAACACGATCGGAGGCACAGTTAAGCTTAATGGCCGGGGCTCCACGGACCTTATGAGGCTGCTGCTAGGCACTCGTCGGTACTGTAATTACTCATGGGCGGCGTGTCGATCATGCTGCGCTGATCAGTGGCTCCCTGATCCGTGGCTGCGCACCGACGGGGAATGGCGCGACCCCCTGAACGATCCATGCAAGTCGCAAGGAAACGGTGATCCTTCCTGCGATTCCGGTGGTACAGGGCGTCTACCGACCGCCTACTATGTAGTAAACACGGTAAATAGCGACAGGGTATCGAGCCGCGAATAGACGTGAAACCAGCATCTGCAGCCATCGTCACTCAGGAGTTCCAGCCTTCAGGGTCTTTCGAGATCCCGCGTTTGTTACTTGCCCCAGAGTACAGGTCATTTCTCGTTTGACAGGCGACAGCGTGTTCTTGCATGTCGAAATACGGGATTCTAGTGGGCATTCACAGCTACCTACTTCGAGTCGGCTACCTGACCAACTGGCGATTCTGGCCCCATTCACCATAATCGGAGCAATAATACGTCATTCGCTGACTTATCACTAAACAATCATCCATACGCATACGCAGAAGGAAGCTCAGGGAAGCTGGCTGGCTTGGAAGTTCCCTGACGAACGTGCATGAAGGGTGAATCCTTCGGGCACGCGAAGTGGATAGCGTGGCGGAGTAGGGCCTTGGCCACCACCCACAACCCAGCAGATTACTGAAATGATGTGATGTCGCGGACTCGCGCCGCTGTCTGCCGGGCGCGGCTAATCGTAACAGCAGGCAGACCCTCTATTATTTATTACTTCAAGGCATAATCCCCCCATCTCTTGAGCTGGCATGGTCTATATAGAGAGTCACGAGCATGAACACTTGTACTCAGCCTCGAGCATATTCGATCAAATATCAGGTGTAGTGCCGGACAAGTATTGTAACTATTCAAAGTTTAATCAAGTACGTTGTCTTTTGAAAGTCTCGGTGCATGCGCATGCTCCACACAACTCCCGGTGCTGAAACGGATGTACAATGCTTACAACCAACGGTCTCGTTCGTGTTCCGACATCACACACAATTCATCATTGGTACCCGTTTGCGATGCCACATGCAAGACAGTCAACTACCGTAATTCTGGAGATGAACACGACAACGCTGTGAAACTAGGCTCACTATGAGGGCTCGGCTGTCAAGGGATGTCAACTTTAGGTTCTGCCTGATTGCTGTGATCTTGTTTCTATGTTAAAGAGTTGCCATAGCTTCTTAGCCAGTAGCCATGCAAATGCTTAAATTCCCTCCAACAACTGAACTATAACCCCATTTTCCTTGTAGCCTGAGCTACACAGATACCCGTTCCATTCATTCCGTCTTCGCACGAGCTCCGTCCCACGCCGCATCGAAGCTTGCCACTGTCTTAGCAGCATTGTCTTCCTTCGACTGCTTCACATCCTGGGCTTTGATCGAGTCAGAGCTCCCACCCATTGCGATTCGCTCTGATATGGTTGTGTCGGAGTCGAGATATGCGTGCAACATAGCCGAGGGCTGCTTTCGACTTCTGTGCAGTATCGCGTCAGTACAGTCTGCCTTGTGGTGTAGTTCCTTCCTCCTTACTTCGTCTTGGATTTGTGAGTTTTGAGTTGGTCTGAATTCGCCATCACATAAATTTACGCAACGAAGGCACGAGATATGCGAGTCTCTTAGATAGTAGATGATGTAGTCAAGTCTTGCCTTGAAATTCAAATTATTACGCAGTTACTTTGGTTTTATATACATCCCTCATGGCTCGGGTTTTGTCACTCTCGACGAGATGTACCAGCTCATCGCCTACTGCCATCACGTCGCCAATGCACACGTTTCTCTCGCTCATTCGAGCTGACAGCCCCGTGACAAAACCATACCAGATTTTGGCACCCGTCCCAACTGTCTCAAAAACGAGAAGACCTCCTACACGTTTACAGTTTTTGATTGTCTGTCGATTGGATAGGTGTAGATCATGCAAGGCGTTGACCCGGTATCTAATATTCAGTCCCATCCGGTTCAGAAAATTTGTACCATTCACTGAAACTTCAAGAGAGTGGGCTATGTGAGCTTAGGATGCTTTTTTTCTCTCGAAATATTCTTCTACAGAGGGTCTCAACCTTTTTTTACAGGACATACTTTAATTTCCTCTCCAGTTAGGTTGCTCGCTTCTCTCCTGAAAGGCCGAGCAGATTGGGCTGATCAAAGTATTGAAACAGATACCATCATCGCCTGGTATCTCTCGAGGCACTCATCAAATAAGCTCATCACGAAATCTGTCAATAATGACGAGTGTCACTCGGATCATCCAATCATTAGAAATGACAAAATCTATGTGGCTGAGTTCACAATTGACAGCCTTACGACCCAGCATGACAAAACCTGAGAATAGGTATCGTTTGACAAAATCTGCCGTTTGGAAAGTGCACTTTCTGATAAGAAAGTCGGTAACGAGCTACAATGATTTGTTGGATGTGTACCAATGGGAAACGTATCCCAGCGCCACGTACGGGTAAGTTTCAGAGCAGCGATTCAGAGCGAATCAAGCCAGGTCAGGCAGCGGTCGCCTTACGGTGAGCATAACAGAATCTGAAAACCAAATCTGACCTGGCGAATGTTAGCGTGACAAAACCTGCTCAACACAATGAGAGAACTAAGATCCCAGAATGCACAGAAACTTTCTCATATAATTGCTTGAGAGAACCCGTCTTTTCCGTCTACAAAACGGCATGATAGCGTTCGTCTGTATCAGTGATGCAAATCATTCTATCCAAATTTGCTAGTAGTTCGGACCATCAAAAATGGCAAGCGCAGCAATCAAGATACCCCAAGAGCAGTGGGAAACCCACAAAGAAACAATCTTGCATCTTTATCATGTTGAGCGCTTGCATCTTGACAGCGGTGATCGTAATGTTGTTCAGGTTATGCAAGACGAACACCAGTTCTTCGCGACGTAAGTGATGAGGACTATGTATTCCGTTCGCGGATCCTAAACAGTTTGCAGACCCTCCCAGTATGAGTCACAATTTAAAAATTGGAATCAGCCCAAAAACATCAAGATAGAGGAGTCAGCAGCTATTCTGACAAAACTAGATGAGCTCGCCCGCAGAGGTATTGAAGCTCGTATCACTGTTTCAGGCCGGGTTCAAGACAAAAGACGAGTTGATAGGATGAGACGTGACGTGCGGACGCACAGCAAGAAAAGCAAGAAACCAGAACTGTCGTCCTTGAGAGGTATCTGAGTTAATGAATCCTGCTGTCAAGAATCTCTCCTAACAGTCTAATAGACCGTAGCTTTCTGCAAGCTTGTAACAAATTCCTTGAGGTCCGACAGGATGATATGTGGTTGGCATTCGACGCGGCCATTGATTATAACACTGCCATTCCAGATTCTCTAGCGACTCCAGGTACTATCTCCGTACATCCAAGTCAGAATCATATTCCTCATTTAAACGATGAGAATGATGGGGGCACAACATTTCCACTTGGCAATGAAATCCTAGAACCCCAGCTTCCAATTGCTTCGTCTCCGAAGGGTGATCCCATGAGCCTCACTCGGTCCCATAACGAGAATTCGATCATAGAGAACATATGTCCACTATCTAACGTCAATGTCTCTCCATTATCGATGACGTCGGTGCCTCTTACACCAGACATCTCACTCATGGATTTTTGCCTTGAAGAGGGCTCACTTCTTGGATCTTCATCAATTACTAGCTCCTTGATCCCAGAGGTCTCTGGAGCTAGAAATCAGATGCGCAGGCAGGCATTTCAATTTCAAGCTGCTCTCGCTACGGGCAGTTATTCGCCTTTCCCAGGTACATTCAGTTGGGGCCAATATCTCAATTGTTGCTCGACACCTGGACGTCTCTCAATTAACACAGGCCAGTCATTATGGGAATCATTTACAGTCTCAATTATTGAAACTATGGGGACGCTACCAGACATCCATTCCTCGCGAAAATATATCGATCGAGAGTTCAAAGTACTCGATTTCGAATCGATGTCCAAGGCTTCATTGCTTCCAGAAATTACGGAATACAGTTACTATGCAGGATCCACTACAATGACCGGATGTAGCTCCGATGATTCTGTCCTGTTCAAATACATTCTCTACTTGCTCATCAATAACTTCCCTGGTGCGAATAAGACCATTCGCATGGCGGTCGTGAGCCTGATGCGTAAACGACGAGATCTGGCATCCCGAATTTTCGCAGGCCTTCCATCATGGCCCTTGGGTATTGCAAAGCCCATAGCAGAAAAGCTCTTCGGCATAGCTATCGAGACAGGTAGTGCGGAGGCAGCAAAAGCAATCCTAGATTGGTCCCACTCTGTCCACTTAACCATCGATCCGAATCAATATCTCTTCGAACACGATGGTACACGATACACCGCCTCCGAGTTTGCGGCTTTGCACCGCTATACGGGTATTGTCCGCGTTCTCCTAGATGCGAAGCTTGATTTCAATAAAAATCTGACAAATGATCCTCTGGATTTTCTCCGAAATCCGAGGCCAAGAGGGGCACTTGAAGCTGCGCTTACCAGCGTCAATGAACATAAGGCCACGGTTGATCACCAACTTGTGGGAATGCTTCTTGACCACGGCGTAGTAGTCAGTGACCAAGCTATCCTTAGAGCTCTCTCTTTAAAGACGTTTGAGACTGTTCGACAGCTTATCTCCAAAGACCTACCTACCAGTCACTTAAAGTGTTTCAGGTTATTCGTCTGGGATATCTGCCACTATGCGGACAAGTTTTCAATAGATGTCATGAATTACCTTATCGAGAGCTGTAGCTTGACGGGTTGTCTAAAGTGCTATTCAGAAAATCAGGAGTCTCTGACGGATGCTTTCAACTATGCTTCGAGTCAAGGGGCACTCGGCCTTGCAAAACTGCTCGCACCATATTCCATGCAGAAAAGAAGATCATTAGCCATGGCTATCAAGAGTCGCAATAGTGAAATTCGCGATCTCCTTGTGGAACTTAAAGCAGAAATCGACGTTGTTCTACCGGACTACACGTCCAGCAGGAAGGAGACTTTCGACTTTCAATCTCGAACCACCGCACTAGCAGAAGCAATTCGATTGCAAGATCATGATCTCGTGAAATGGCTTGAAGATAAGGGGGCACTAAACGGTATTGACAAAGGAGGTCTCTTCCAATACGGATTGAACGCAGCCGTCGAAGTTGGCGATCGCTACTATATCCAGAAACTTCTTAGATTAGTTCCCAAGCCTGGTGTTCGATACTTCGATAGTGCACTCGAGACAGCCATCCGAAAAGGTGACGCCGATGCAGCTCTGATTTTGCTCGATGCTCAAGCGGAGGCTGACCCGAAGGCTTTCAACCGAAGTCTACCTTTCAATAAGGCCCTCGAGATGCGAAATAAGACCCTTGTGAAAAGAATGATAGACTATGACGCGTCCTTTGACGATATTTGGCCAGCTGCTCTCGCCTGGAACGATCCATGCGTGATCCAAGACCTGATCCATGCGGGAGCACTTTTAACTGACGAAGGAATGGTACAAGGGGCAGTCGTATCAGCAGTCAGGCAAGCAAACAGACGAATGGTGACATACTTCGTCAACATGGGAGCTGTTGTTGACGATGATTATGGGCACCCGTTAAGAACTGCTTCAAAAAAAGCTGACTTTGAGATGGTCCAGCTTTTGCTTGACCTTGGAGCTGACCCAGCAAACCAGGATGCGTTTTGTGCAGCCCTCGAACAGAGGAATGAGCCTATTTTAAACTTGCTCCGGAATGCGTTTCGTCTCAAATTCCCTCTCGGGAAGCCTGGTTTCGGTGGGGAGGTCCTGGCTCAGGCTATAAAATCGAGGAGTGCTTCCTTGATACAGGCCGTTCTGAACGATGGACTTGACCCCAATTCATACACATATGGAGACACAATAAATGCATTTGGGTACGCCATCCGGCACCATGACGGAAGCAATATAGATATTGTTAGCAAGCTTATAGATGCTGGTGGTGACCTGCAAGGGATTATTAGCAAAGGCCATGGTGGACGCAAAACAGCAATGATGCTGGCTATCGAAACAGGAGATACACCCCTGGTAGAAATGCTTATCGAGAAAGGTGCAAAAGTCGATCAGGTTGTCCGTCTTGGCTTGAAGCGGACCTGCCTCCAGGTAGCTTGCGAGACTAGCCAGTACGACATGGTCAAGCTCCTGCTGGGGGTCGATGGGGTACAGGTCAACGCACCTGCGGCTCCAAGAGGCGGCGGAACGGCCTTGCAGCTGGCGGCGATCAGTGGAAATCTGAGGATAGTTCGCTTGCTTCTCGATCACAATGCTGACATTCACGCAAGCCCTTCAAGGATACACGGGCGAACAGCCCTACAGTGCGCTGCAGAACACGGTCGTCTGGAGATCGTCTGGGCGTTATGGAATGCAGCAAACGGCCAGGGATTCAGTGTAGAGGAGATCGACACTGCAATCAGCCTGGCAAAAGCGCAAGAACACAGAGGATGCGCAGACTTCCTTGGCAGCCTTGCAACTATGGGAAATAACAGTGTTGGCCCACTTCTGAGTAGCTAGGAGGTCCGTAGTGGTGTTCGAAGGCTTTGAGTGTAGGTAGGATAGCAAGTATGAACGCAGCGAGATTCTTTCAGTGGTTTGGATGTGTAAAAGGTAGATAATCAGGTATAAGTGACGAAGAAACTGACCCTTAGCCTTAATTAATGAGACCATTGGCTATTCCATTTGTCAATATCATAGAAGCCGGGAATTCTCGTCAGAGACAGTTTCCTGAGGTGGTTATCCTTGAGCGTCCCTAGTTTAGATACAGCCTTTGACAGAGTGGTGCCACACACGTTATAATTGGCTATTTGAATAACCAAACTGTCATGAAGAATGCTCTTCTTACCTTCCTTCCGGCTCCGGCATCAGGCTCGGTCTACATTGCTCTTCAATGTGGACAGTTAATTTTACACCTCTGCCGGGGTAAT